GGACGAACTAAAAATATCCTTACGCTTCTTCACGTCGTAGAAACTGAGGAAAACAGCGATATTCTCTGTCTTCTAGCACATATTTCAAACTTAAAGTAAGCTGGTAGCAGTTCTCCTTGAACTGGAGTGTTCTGCTTAGTTCGTATTTGATAACAGGTCTGTTCTCAATGCATGTACGTGGCAGCTGTCCCGCTACACGACATGTAGGCGCTTGGGGGGAGAGGCGGTATATCCGTCAGTTGCCCTCCTTTCCAACCTCATCTCGGATGTAATCCTGACACTTTCTACGTCTTAGGTCAAATGACTTCGCGTCCCTTGGGTGAAATATTCTCGACACGTAATGGGAAATTTCACGAAGATGATACGGAGGGTGAGGCGGAGCCAAGCCGAGGGAATGAAAAAGTTCTTAAAAGTTACGTCCAATCTTCACGGCCTGGCGTTCAATTCCAGAATCTCGGCACATCGTCACGCTCGGTCCTTGGAAAGAACTCAGCCCCTCGTAACTTTTACTCTTCATTTCGGCTTGGACGGTGTTTTTACTCCGTCGCTGCGGGCAACTGAGCAGCTGAGCATACTCTCGAAGGTGTTGGAATTTCACGAAAGACTCTTAGCTGTACCAAGGACTATGATTTGCATTTCATTTCGAGTGCGTAGCAGTTGCGTTGATAGAAGATTACCCAGCAGATTCTTTCAACAGTAACCTCCTAATTTTTTAAGGTACGAGATTAGAATCTCGGCGGCGTTAGGGGCTGACAAAGGATTTTCATGGATGTACTCTGTCTCCCAATACAAATGCCAGGATAGTACCTTACAATACGTCACGATCGTGTCCTTACAGATCCTTAAGTAGTCACCACTTACAATCGCGCCATCACCGTGTAATCTCAGCGGAGCTACACGATCGACTTCGTCACTTGAATCGTAATGGTTAAACGTAATTCGAACTAAGAATACAGCAATTCCGTTAAGGTGGCGACTCGGGCCTTTTAAAAATGCACGGGGTGGAGTCCTTGAAAGCGAGTCGCTCAGCTAGTCAATAAATCCCTATGGATCCGGACGGTTCATTGTCGTCCTCACAAAAACCCGCCAATGGTTCCAAACCCAATCCACGATCAAAAACATCCTCCAATTTCTTTGAAATTAATTTTAATATTATCCTCCCATCTACGCTTAGGTCTTCCAAATGATGTCTCGTCTTGAGATGGATGAAAGTGGCTCAGAATCGACTTCTGTTACCAAACTGTGAATCAGTCCATTCGTTAATTAATGTGCTGCTGAAACAGCTAATGAATTACCAACTATTTCGTGGTCCACACGTCACTGAACTTCCGTGTTATATGCGGAGGCCGCTTCACGGCGCTGCGAACAACAGGAGTGCGCCTCAAAGATCACGTTCAAGCCTTCTTTTGTCCTCCACAACAGAACCTTTGGTAATAATTCTCTAGAAGCCTGAATTCGGAATCAATTCCAGTTGATTGAATTCCAAAAGGATTTCGGTCGATAGAATCGTGTTAAGGGGTGGAAATTTGGAGATTACGGGCTGGAGGAGGGGGTAGCTAACCACCCGTCTTGATATATCCCAGCATCGGAGTGGATAACGCTGCTGTATTTCACTTCCGCCTCTGCGCCCCGTTCTGAAACACCCTCAATGACCATGAAACGATTCATAGACCCACGAACCGGCTTGGTAGCCACTTCCTTATACAACCGGTTCTTCAGTTATGAAGCAACTACCGTAGCGGTGCAGCGATGCTGACATCTGAGAAGGCAACCCTATAAATAGGAACTATGGTAATAATACTTTCAAGGCTCCCTTTTCTTGTCCCTATGGAATTTCAACTGCTAGCCAAGTCCTGGGGCATAGAACCACAAGCACATACAAATTAAAATTGAAACGTAACAAGTTAGAATGGGAATCAGAAGACAGCGTTTACTTTTCAACCCATCCTTTCACGAATCTTCACAACCCAAAAGGGAAGACAAAAGAACTGAAATCTTCATGTAAGGACCCTTAAAAACATCCCTATTCATATATACATTTAGTTTATTTCCGAGCGAGCGCGCTCAGGTAGACGACCAGGTCGATCCCCCCCGTCAAGTCAGGCCGGCACATAACACGGTTGCGCTGCCCAGAAAACATATTTTACTTACTAAATAAAAACAGTAAAGCAATTAATGCATGTGTGTCCCGATCATTTCGGGACACTGGAGGATTGAAGGCAAAGAATCACGGATTATAACATCAACATCAGATGGCGTGCGTGATCAGTGTCATCCAAAGAAAAAGGTCTGGGGAGGTTAGGTTTGGATGCGTAAGGTTAGGTTAGATTAGGTTAGGTTGGGTTAGTTTAGGTTGGGTTAGGTTAGATTAGGTTAGGTTGGGTTAGGTTAGGTTGGGTTAGGTTAGTTTGGGTTAGGTTAGGTTAGTTTAGGTTAGGTTAGGTTAGGTTGGGTTGGGTTGGGTTAGGTTAGCGATCATTTGTTATTGACTGATTCTGGTTCTTGTTGAGTAACAAGTATTTACGAATGTGTCACTACTTCCGATGTTCTCGTTAATTTACTAGTAAATTAATAAGTGTACAATTAATTACTCATTGAATGCGTACTTCCATTGCGTTAAACCTGTGAAGTAGACATATATTCCAAGCCATCCCACAGGTAAAGTAAAAATTTTCTCCAGGTCTCTCACGGATGCACGTGGAGAGAACCAGTTGACAACAAAGACCTTCAGAACTGTCTTACCGTGCGTCGGATTCTCCCAAATGACAAACTTTATCTGTACTGAGTCGCTGATGCATAACTGCCTGCCGGCCCTAATGATCCCGGGGCGCCTTGAGAAGATAAGGACGGTCCTCGCTTCATGGCGAGCTTGAAGTCAGGATTTAATCAACACACTCAAACGAACCTCTTAAATTGGCTTACGCTAATTCTCTTACCATAGACCTATAGTCGGGAAAATCGTCTCTGATTTACAGCACAACTGAGGAAAGTAAACCATTTTATATCCAGACAGTAATTAAACGTAAATGACTAGCATAACTGCGCACTTTAAGCCTGTCTGAGACATTCTGTGCGCTTGCTATAAAATTTGTATTCTGCGTGAGCTGCACAGGCAGAGTAGTTGTAAGATCCAAACAATTTCGAGAAGAATTAATGACGCCAATTATCCTCACATTACCTCACCTACTTAAGTAATCTACTCGTACTATTAACGCCATGCATTTTCTTGGAAAATTTCCTTCGTCTGTTGGGTAAAAATACCCTCTCGTTTCGTTCCTCATTCTGCTTCTGTCAGGAAGTACAATTGTAAAACCTAATCTGTTCAGTCCACTGGATTACGTTGATTTGTACTGTTTCTTTTAAACATGTTACAGGGTGTGCATAAAAATGTCTAATGTTGTGTTTCCTTCTTTCTTTCAGCTGCCATTTCGAAGAAAGTGTGCTTGACGGAAGAGTGCGTGAGGACAGGTAATTCATTTGTTTCTTAAACAATATAATGCGTAGTTTCCATTTTGTTGCACGCCAACACGCGATCCCGACCGGTCAGGGTAAAGTGGGTATAGTTGCCCGACGTTTATTCAACCATGACAGATGGCGAAAACGCGTAGATAAATGCGTGACGCGGCCATTTCCGGAGCTATCGCACGCGTTTGTGCTTCTGATAATGGCGGAAACACTGACGTCAGAAATGTCCAGGGTGAATGCCCTCAGCGGGGACGAGCGAGATTTTCTGAACCTGAGGAGCCACAGGCGGTTTCTTGGCCCTTGGGTCAGAAGGGTCAACTATTCTTCGCTGTAAGGGCGGGGAGAAAAATACAGAATTCAAGAGACAGCTCAACTTAGACATTCAGTACTATCAAATAAGATTGGGAATAAGAGAGTAATGTCAATATCGGAACATTTTCGTTGTGTGAGTGGCAACACTGCTGACGCCTAGTCATATCGTAGTTCAAGGTCAGACTACGACACGCTGCGAGCGCGGTTAGGTTATAGACCGTTTATGCTAAATTTAAGTTAAGTAAACAAAAGACGATATCGAAATCAAAGCGACGTGAATTAATTTATATGTCACATTCGTTGTTGCTAACTGATTAGGTGCCACGTGTGTGCCCCCCCTCCAATTAAATTCGCAGTAACAGAAGGAATCTCATGACATGTACGCAGTGACAGCTTTTTCGAAATACTTAAAATTTTGCTAAGCTCTTGTTCAGAGAGTCTTTGAGCGTCTTTAATCCCGCTTACTGTTTACTGATGCTTTACAAAATGTAAACGGGGCTAGTTCTGTGCCAGAGGACAATACGTATATGCCATTCTTGCAGTAATTTAAATTAGTGCCTACACTTCGTGCACAAACGGCAAACCACCGAAACGCCCAGCGTCACACAGGATCACGAACAGCGACGCTCCATTATACATCACCACGCGGTAACGTATATGGAATTCTATTCTGAATTAATATCATTATTTCAGGTACCGACATTAAGCTGATTAAGTTTGTGATGTGCCTTTATCAGAGCACGAAGCCACTCGTGGGGCCGAGAGGCTTTCTAAGTTGGGTTGCGGAGGAGGGGGGGGGGTTTGCTGTTGCTGCTGCTTAATTAAGCTCGGTTTTCCCTGCGAATAATTACCGCGGACGACGTGTCAGCCAGGGGGGGGGGGGGGGGGGTTTGCTGTTGCTGCTGCTTAATTAAGCTCGGTTTTCCCTGCGAATAATTACCGCGGACGACGTGTCAGCCACAGGGTTCCAATTACACACGAGCACGTCGCTGTAGTAGCAATCAGGAGTCTCATTAGTTACAAACTGCTGGTAACGTAATACCACGCCAAGCCAATCACAGGTCTGCATTATTTTCAATCAATTCCGTAACCGCACGAACCTGCAATTAATTTTAGTGCCCACTCCCCACCGTCAGGGCAGAAAATGTCAAAATTCGTGGTATTTTCAGATTATCAAATTCTCTCTTATAAAACAAAACGCAGTTCTCTGTGCCAAAGCATCGCACAACATACACATATAGGGAGCAAGGAGGTAAGGCTTCACGCATTCCATACCTTGGTATTAGACGAAGTTGATCAGTACCAAGTTTAACGCAAATCAAAAAATAACACGTAAAAATGTAATTTTGTTTATTTCAATCACTAGACTTGTAGAAGGAAGACGGGAAGTCGAAACAATCTAAACTAAGTGATAAATTAAAAAAAAATTGCCGGGAAAATGTAGAGTTACTGAGTGTTGAAACAGGTGGTACATATATTTACCACTATCATTTATAGAGTTAAATCATGTACATTAAAACTGAAGTATTGCATGAGTGTAATAAGTGCATCGTTGGCCTCAAACTTCTCAACACAAAACAAAATTACACCGGAAAAAGAAAAGTGGATATGACATCTGAAAGTGGTGTTTCCGCAGCGAAATTAGATCACCTTTGAACGCGCTGCGTCGGTTGTGTCAGACGTGCGGTAAAATGCGTACGTCACACTCAATTACCGCATGCGACAAATTACGCAGTTTCAAAGCGCGCCCGTGTTTTAATTGGCACCTAACCCAAACTTTCCGCTTGGACGACACGACAGAATAGTCCCCGTCCAGCGCATCAAATCGAGCGCCATAGGGAAATAGCCACTTCAATAACAAAAATTCCCGAACAGCAGCCACACGTCTGGAAATAAAGTAAAGTTTGTCCCACTATACGCCATGTAGGCGTTTGGGGTGAGTGGAGGTATAGCTCCTACTCTTTCTTGACCTCGGCACTAGATGGGGGTGAGTGGTCGGCATCACGCCCCGGCCGGCTTTACCCCCGGGAAAGGACCCCGGTACCCATTGGACAGGAGGCTGGGTGGGCCCCAGAGCCGGTCTGGACGCAGAGGCTACAGGAAAAATCCTCTGCCGCCGTCGGGGATCGAACCCCGGCCGTCCAGCCCGTAGCTAGTCACTATACTGACTGAGCTATCCCGGCTCATACACGTCTGGAAATGGACGAGATTATTTACCTCATGCACTGACATCAAACACGTGTGACTGATACAGCAATTTAAAACATTTCGTATTCAGTATTATGCACCATTTTTAAGTAAGATTTAGAAGATGGCTGTCTTCTGGGTTGTAGTGCCGTGTAGTCTGATAGAAGTTTACCGACGTTTCGGAGGTCCCTGCTGCATCCACCATCAGAACGATGAGTGACTCATCTTTTACCAGACTTTACGGCGCTACAATGCAGGAGACAGCCATCTTGGTACTTTTTTTCCTTTCATAAAACTGCCATTTCTATAACGTTCCTCTCCTCTGACTGAATTACATCAGGCTGGAAACTGTGACCCCAAAACAAAACTAGACGGACGAACCGTTGAAATCAACGGGGCACAAGATACCAGCAAATACCAACGCAGAAAGCCACCCGTCCATCACTCTAGCAATACGAATGCAACTCAGAGAATGAAGCCATATTGTTCAGGGGTTCTCAACCTACGGCCCGCCGATGAATTTGTGTTCTCCACAAACACATTTGAGTATCGTCCTGTACGATGAAATACAGCCACCACCTTGTCTGGCTGTAAGCAAGCGATTGATACAAATAACTCGTCACTTAATCTGTTACGGGAAATAACGGAGAAGCATGCTAACCTGTTTGCTTAGCGGCATTAATAGTCACCACGAAGTTTCAAAAAAACTCGCCTCGACAGACATGAGAGGGTGGATACAGTTGGTTTACAGGTAGTGGGCCTCCGACAGAGTCGCAGACGAGAGTAACGGCATCCTGTATCAACAAGTTTTTCGACTAAGACTGAACCTTGTTTCTCGCAGCGGCGTCTCTGCTCGCAGCGATGGACAAGACGGCAAATCCCTGCACCGACTTCTTCCAGTTCGCCTGTGGAACCTGGAACAAGAAACACGTGATCCCTGAGGACAGGAGCAGCATAAGTACCTTCGAAGTGTTGGCTGACCAGCTGCAGGTCATCCTCAAGGGTAAGATGTGTCTGATCTCATTTCGTTGCTAGTCGAAATAGCATTTAAGAATTCGGCCCGTACCGCGACGAAAACACAGCTCTTCACCATTACAAAGATCAACTGGTTAACGCTGTTTAAGGAAATAATCGCTGTTTATTCTGAGAATCATAGAGAGAGAGAGAGAGAGAGAGAGAGAGAGAGAGAGAGAGAGAGAGAGAGAGAGAGAGAGAGAGAGAGAGAGAGAGAGAGAGAGAGAGAGAGAGAGAGAGAGAGAGAGAGAGAGAGAGAGAGAGAGAGAGAGAGAGAGAGAGAGAGAGAGAGAGAGAGAGAGAGAGAGAGAGAGAGAGAGAGAGAGAGAGAGAGAGAGAGAGAGAGAGAGAGAGAGAGAGAGAGAGAGAGAGAGAGAGAGAGAGAGAGAGAGAGAGAGAGAGAGAGAGAGGAAATTGGTGGGGGAGAAGTGAGAGACACTTCGATATCTGGGGGGGGAGAAAGAGCATCTTATAGCTAGAAGGTCCCCAGGCAATGCCCGCTCGTCCTTCTGTTAAGGATAAAGTAAGAGTGAAGGCGTTAGTGTGATGATTGGCATAAAAGACGGAATTTTGAAATTTTGTATTAGAGAAGGAGAATCATAGTACGTCTGATTAATATTTAAGAATTCAGTCCGTACCGCGAAGAAAACACCACACTTCACCATTCTAGCTGTCAGCTAGTTAAGAAAAGGAACGAGAAACCCCAGTACATCCATACCGCGTGTGGGCATCTGCACTGACCGAGACCGTTCCCTAGAACCCAAAAGGTCAATAAAACCGTTTGTGTTAACTATTAAATTATTTACAAATATTGATTTACTAGTTGCAACTTTCACTTTATCACAAGCACATGAACTCTGAAGCCGATTAATGAGACAGAACAGAACGGCGAAATTCGAAACTTGTCTACAGCAACAAATGTTTTCCATAAAGCAAAAATAAGAACGATAGTCTGTCACATAGAATTCTCATAGACGCACAGAACGCTTGGTTTGACCTAGATCATTTTCTCACTTCCTCCTTGTTTCTGGTTACAGGAGTTCTGGAAGAACCAATCAATGAAAGTGACAACGAAGCAACACAGAAGGCGAAAAGGTTCTATAACTCATGTATCAACATATGTAAGTACAAAATGTGTCGATGTGTTCAAACACAGAAACCAACATGGACGTATTTACTTCTATTGTATCCATATAGAATTATCAACGACGAGAAGATGCAAAATTTCCATTCAACAACGTCTAGGTCTTAAAATGGCATTAAAACACCTCAGTCACTTCATTACGGCGAGACACGGTCAACAATGAAACTTTCAACACGTGACTTCATATAATTCTACAACAATGGGATCAAAATAATAAAGAAATGCAAAAAAAAAAAATAATATTCTTCACAGAGTTCAATTATAAATTCTTTTCATGAAACTAAAACAAACGAAATTAACATTGAGATGGTTGCCTTCTAAATTAGTGCCGTACAGTCCGGCAGAATGTAGCGCGTATATCGGATATACCAAATTTCATCAATTTCATTTCATTGTCCTCGGATATCTTATTATTTTGGCTGACATCTGCGTATTGACGCTGTGTCCAGCTGTAGCCGCGATACATCACGGATATGAAGCATGCGGATGGACAAAATGGTTCACTTCGTCCAAAGAAATTACAAAACAAAACAATGTCTAAATCCGCAATCACATGAACTAAGCTGTTTTCTAACGTTATCAGCACTGGACGTTAACAGGCGATATTCTTACGTTCTTAAACACAAATTTACTTCTGGAGGGATAATGATCATCGTCTTGTTAAAGGCTCCCAGGCTTTGCCCGCTCGTCGTTCTTATAATGGCAGAATGGGAGTGAGAAAGTTAGACACTGCACACACGAGCGGATTGAGACGCAGTGGATTTTCTGCCGCATTCATGGAACGCACTGTCAGCGTCATGTCATACTTACGACAATATCAGTCCGCGGGTTTACCTAATAGAGGCCTTTTAAGTTTTCAAGGTCATTCGAAACTCATTTTTTCAAACGCATTTTTCTGCCGATCTGCAAGAATCTGAGTGACCATGTTTATGTCCGTTTGAATTCACGCACATGTCAGCGTCATGTCATAGTCTCGACAATATCAGTCCGCGGGTTTACCGAATAGAGGTCTTTTAAGTTTTCAAGGAAATTCGAAACTCATTTTTTCAAACGCATTTTTCTGCCGATCTGCAAGAATCTGAGTGACCATGTTTATGTCCGTTTGAATTCACGCACATGTCAGCGTCATGTCATAGTCTCGACAATATCAGTCCGCGGGTTTACCGAATAGAGGCCTTTTAAGTTTTCAAGGTCATTCGAAACTCATTTTTTCAAACGCATTTTTCTGCCGATCTGCAGGAATCTGAGTGACCATATTTACGTCCGTTTGAGGTCACGCACATGTCAGCGTCATGTCAAAGTCTCGACAATATCAGTCCGCGGGTTTACCGAATAGAAGCCTTTTAAGTTTTCAAGGAAATTCGAAACTCATTTTTTCAAACGCATTTTTCTGCCGATCTGCAGGAATCTGAGTGACCATATTTATGTCCGTTTGAAGTCACGCACATGTCAGCGTCATGTCAAAGTCTCGACAATATCAGTCCGCGGGTTTACCGAATAGAGGCCTTTTAAGTTTTCAAGGTCATTCGAAACTCATTTTTTCAAACGCATTTTTCTGCCGATCTGCAGGAACCTGAATGACCATATTCATGTCAGTTTGAGGTCATGGATAGGTTAATGTCACCTCAAGATCACGACAAGATCAGTCCATGGTTTTGAGTAATATAGGACTTTAAATTTTCAAAGCTCACTTCAAGAACATTTTTTCTCACGCTTATATCTACCTAACTGTATTAATCTGTGTAACCATACTCATGTTACTTTGAAGCCATTTAGAGCTTGCGCGCATGTGCTGTAGTTTTACCGCTGCGGCAGAAAACCCGCTAGTGCGCGCTACCCCTTATAGGCATAGAAGCTTGAAACACAGAAATTGTGATTTACATAATTTATGGTGAAATGATAATTTACAAATTTAAGCGAATCGAGAGAGAGAGAGAGAAAGAGGAAATTGGTGGGGGAGAAGTGAGAGACACTTCGATATCTGGGGGGGAGAAAGAGCATCTTATAGCTAGAAGGTCCCCAGGCAATGCCCGCTCGTCCTTTTGGTAAGGATAAAGTAAGAGTGAAGGCGTTAGTGTGATGATTGGCATAAAAGAAGGAATTTTGAAATTTTGTATTAGGGAAAGCTGAGGCTATTAATTTGGAAGTTTAGGACATAATTTAGAAGTTCCTACTGAGGGGGGGGGGGGGGGAAA